GACAAGGGACACGGGACACGGGACAGTGTACTCAACTGGGCGATAATCATGGAACACTGCACCGCACGCTGATGCCAATCAAAATTCAAAATTTCGACAGAGGAACCACTCACTCACTCACTCACCTCCCAGGATGCCAGAGCAGGCTGCACAGGCTGCGAGGATCCAACGGAGCGTGGCTACGTTGATAAGTATCCTCGCTGCCGGAACACAATGGCTGCCAGGTTGGCTCATCAGGCTGACCACTGCGGCGCTGTCCAGCGTCAAATTGTGGACTGCTCGCAGCATTAAGCAGATAACGCATGCAAATGGGACACGGCGACAGGAGACAGGAGCAGGAGCACGAGCACGAGGCTGTGCAGCAAAATGCAGCAGTTAAAGTGCAGTTTCGGTGACTTGAAAAACGTACACATCCGGGCCGGAGGACGAGGCTGGTGCATAAAACTCCATTAGAGCCATAAAAGTTAAAAGCATTTTGCCTTCTTTGCTCGCAACGGCTGGCAACTGGCAACTGGCAAGTGCAGGTTCCCGAATCCCAGACTGTCGACTGCCAAGAGCCTGCCCGGAGCTTTCGATTGTTGCTGCTCAGTGATTGGAAATGGAAGGAGGTCGGGGTAATGGCAAACGCAAACGAAATACAATAAAAATAAAGCGAGTAAGCGAAAAGAAAACGTTTGCCGGAGGAAGGGGAAGACGACGGCGACGCATTAACCAAACACCGTGAGTGCCAGAGGCAACAATAACCATGCTTCGTGCTCGCAGCTTGGAGCTCCTTGCTCCTTGCTCCTTGCTCCTTCTGCTCCTTTAGACCCCTTTTCCTCCATCTCTCTAGGAGCTGCGACATGTGTGTGAGACACCTTCGAGCTGCAGCAGAGCTGCCAGGCTTTGAGTTTCCAAAATTAAGGATAAATAGAGAGCCTTAAAAAGGAGATATTAAAGTTTGGGTAATGTTGATTATAACTTTGATGTATACAAGAAGAAGACCTATCTCTAAAATCCTTAAAACATACTAAGGTTCATCCCAACTCAGCTAGCACCTTGTACATCTCTAGACTTCATTGCATCCATGGGGTAATCTCATCACCATTGCCCGCATGGCGGATGACAGCTGGAACTGGACACTTAATGCGAAGCCCCCTCATTCAATGCCTCCTCCTTTTCCAGGTGTAATTAGCAAAGCAGGCCAAGTCCCTGGGCCCCAAACAAATGTGAACTTTTAATGAAACGGAACGGATCTCGGAAAAGGATGGAAGGAAGCTGCGTGACCGGTGGCGGGTCGGATTGCTTTTGTATCGATCTGGCCCCGATGACGGCGGACAGGAGCCAGCCAGGCCACCGGCACGTGATGCTCCCCATCTAGTCTGGTCCTGCTCCTGCCCCTGTTCCTGCTCCTGCGTAGAGCTTTTAATCCAACCCACATAATAAACGAATCCGACACGTCCCTGCAGTTGCTGGTGGCTGGCTGGCTGTCTGGTTGGATGGCTGTCTGGTTGGCTGGCATCGGGTTGTCAAAATAATTAAAGACGACAGCCAAAGGAAAATGATTATTTTTTTCGATACAAGCCAGGCCCGCATCCGCCACATGCCACCTTTGGGGCATGCAACGCGAAAGCGGTAAGAGGTGGGTAACCTTACTGAGCAGGATCACTGATGAAAAAACTAGGTTTCTTTTTTATTGAAAATGGAGAAAAGCATTCCCATCAAAAGTTATAATATATTCTATGATTTAAAATCCTTTTAGGTTGATAACACTTATTTTGTTAATGAAATAAGAGATTCAGAGATTAAGGACTTATAAATACTATGTTTCTGATGTTTCCAGCATCCTATTTCAGGTAACTTTTCTATATATTCCTCATTTGAAGACCCTCAAAGGTTGATCAAATATTATTTTCCTTTATTTTCTCTTGAAAGTGTACAGGGATTTAGCTGAGACCTTTCTGCTTATGCTCTCTTTTAAATCAAATTGTTTCCCCGCATTCTTCATCAGTGACTATTTTCTTAAGACCTCATTTTAAGATCACCAAATTTCGATAAAATATTAATTAGCCCATCTTCCCTCACAACTGATTACGAATTTTGCAATAAATAATCATAAATTACAGCATTTTCCACTTCGCATAATTTTGTAAATGATTCAATTCCAAACTTTGACAGCGCAATCTTGATGATGGGTTGTGTGTGTTGGATTTCTGTGAGTGTGTGTGTGGTGTGGCGGGGTTTTATTATCATCTGCATGGTGTGTGTGTGTGTGTACCTTTGACCCAACCTCAACCCAAAGCCAATTCAACCTGGTTCGGGGCCAAAACAATTCCAGGCAAAGGCCCATCCATCAATAACCACATCACGTTTTTGTTATAAATTTGTTTTATACATTTTTCCAGGGCACCGAGGCTCCACTTTATGTGCAAATTTATATGGCACACACACATGCTGAATGGAGGTGTAAATCCTATTGGAGAACGCTAATGTGTGCGTGTGTGTATGAGTGTGTGTATGTGCGCTTTTAATCAAAGTTCTTGATGCGTCAAATCCTTGTCGCGATGCCTACAAATTAACTTTTGCCAAGCGAGTTGCGAGTCCCAAAGTCAAGCGAAAAGTTTCAAAAAAGAAATTAGCCCAACGCCACCGTCTCCTCATTGTACTAGGCCAAGTCCTTGGCAGAAGGATTACCTGTAAGGGAGGGTGTCCTGTTGAAAGCGGAGCACTCAAACTGCAATTATGGAACTTGAAGTAAACTTCAGCTGTTGCAAGACTCGAGTTGCAAGAGCCAGCGGATGCATAACCATTAATGCAACATCTCGTGAAGGTTTCTATCTAAAGGAGGGTGCTCCTCTTTAAGGGTTTCTCTCCAAGGGCCCCCACCACGTTCATTTGGGTAATGACATTTTATTCACATAATGAAAAATCTAGCGAGAAGCTAAGGAAAACATTTCCTGTTTACATTCTCAAAATTGCCAAGTTGCAATTTATGGCGCGATTTGTTTATTTTTTGTGCTTTGTTTCTCTTTCAAATGCATCTATCTGAGTGTGTGGGTGTGGAGGGTGTGGAGGGTGTATATGGGGTGTGTGTGTTTACTGCTTTTGTTGCCCTGGGCACTGTGTGTGTGTGTGTGTGCCAGTCTGCTACATATTTTACAGCTTTGTGCGCTTGAAACGTGCCTGCTGGACATTAGTCGCCATTCGCATTGAGCTCGTTCCACTTGTCGAACGAAGGAGCAGGAGCAGGAGCAGGAGCATGAGCAGTAGGAGCGGCAGGACGAATACAAGGACGAGGAGGAGTAGGAGCTGCTACAGAATGAAGTGCTGGACAGGGTCGGCCCACACACATTGAGCTGAAGAATGCAATAATACATGAAACGCAGCAGGGAAAACAGAGCGGTCAGAGATGGCGTACCAAGCACAATAACCAGCAAGAAATGAAATAGAAAATGTGTTTTTGGCGACTAAAAGATACTCAGTATCAAGTGGTTATGTTAACAAAAAGGATACAACAATTACTTCAAAGTGGGGTTTCCTAAAAGGGAAAGTTCTTCAAGGAAACATGGTCTCTTAGTTCTTGAAAATGTATAAAAATACACCTTCTAAAGTCTCTCCAGGTGAAGACGACCCCATCAAGGAGTATAGAGTCTTTGGTATTCCTTCAACTGACCTCCCAGGCGGTCTGATTGATTGACAGCCTCTCGAGTGTCGAGTGTCGAGTGTCGGGGTCTTGGTGTCTCAAGTCCTTGGGTCTCTTGCCGCATTACGTATACGCCCCGTGGTGCTGGTGGCATAACCATCACTCATTATACCACGACCCCCGTTGCCCGTATGCAGCAAACTGATGCAGCATCTCCGTGGGAGCACCACCCGGCCCCACCCACCGGCCATTTTCTACACTCTTAGATAACTTTTTCACGCTGCGCTCTCTCCGGCGCTCGGGCACGTCTTTTTGTTCTGAATACAAAAAAGCGCGCACAATGTGCAAAAGTGTAATGAATTTTTCCGCTGTTGGTGCACATAAAAGAAATGGACAACAACAGCAGGAAAATGGGGGAAAAGGGTAGCTGGGTCTGGGCCAGGACAAGAGCAAGAAAATGAGGCAGCAGCAGCAGGAGGAGCAGGGACGCAGCTGCATAGAAATATACTTTTTGTTCTCCAGCACTCACAAAGAGCGGCTAATTAATGTCATTGTTTTTTGACAGCGCAACGTCCGCTGCATTATTAAAAATGCATTTGCCAAAGGACAACGAGAAGGCAGCAGGATGCTTGGTTTGGGTTGGACACTTGTAAAGGCGGAAACCCTTTTTCCCCTCTCCAAAGAGGATGCGTGGGCTGCTGCTGCTTCCTTTTGTGTCTGGCCAAACATCACATCCCATCACTTTCCTTGGGCAAATACTACACGCGGCTGAGACTCGCATACAAAGGGACCAAAAGGCTGTTTGCATAACAATTTCTATTGATTATTTTTGTTTGTATTGAACTTGCGTCGTCCAAACAATGCAGCCAAAGTATGCCGGGAATTCCTATTATAACCGCAAAACAAAGGGACACACAGGGTTTTCGGTAAAAGCTCTTCCCTCAATCCCATTCCATCACATCAGAATGGGCAAATATTATCGCTACGAATGATTGCCAGTGTTAGTAATAGTGTAGAGCCTTTTCCTAATTGAATTAGTTGAGCTTGACGCTCCCTCTGAGTTCCCTTGCCTTGGACGTGCAACAAATTCATTTTGCAACCAGACTCCTCCTCAGCCGCTGTCTGCTCTGACTCGACTGCTGGTAATTATAATAAACAACAACTGTGTCCTGTTTACTTCATCATAATTAACATAATGGGACTTCAAGTACAAAGATGTTGACAGTAAACAAGAAAAATATGACAAGATTTTCATGTTGCCGTCGCGCGTTTGCCGGTTTACGAGGAGTAGAAGCTGGAGCAGGCCAAGGAGCCACCACCAGCAAGGACGACGGGCAGTAACTCTTTTGCCATTTCCCATCCTCTGTGTCGTCTTGGCCATTTTTCCCCGTTACCCGATGTTTGTATTGTCATTGTCTTCGCCGAGGCCGTGTGTGAGAGGGCACGGCAAGAAAATGGGTTACTCTTAGGGATATTAAACTTAAGGCAAGGCAACTAGAGGTTTTGGACAATTTGGAGACTTTAAAACGGGCTTAAAGAGTTCCAAAAGTCATTGATAAAGGTTCGGCTAGAAGGAATAAGTTTAATAATTTGATTAAAGTTTCTTAATTTGTTACCATTTCTTCCTGTGTATCCTTTTTCTGTATGTTTGACTGTAAAAAGGAGTTGCTGTTGCTGTTGCTCTGCCCTCTCCCTGGAGCTGCTTCATCTGAGACGGCTTTGTTGCGTTCCGTCTGTGCTCCAGAATCCATGTCCATGTCCCTGTTCGTGTTCGTTTTCGTTTTCGTGTCCTGGTACTGCCGCGTTGTCCTGTCTGTAACGCACTCAAATTAATGCGACTTCATTAACACTGTTTACCCGTAAATGTGTCGTGGTCAGGAGCAGGAGGAGTCGAAGGAGCCGAAGGAGCACTGGCATGCAAATGCTTTCACTTTAAGGCGCGCATATTCAAATTACACCGCAAAAACGGCAGTCAAATAAGCAACAAAGCACTTTAAAATAATTTAGACAGAAGCCTCCCCAACCTCATATACTATATATATATAAATTCCCTGCAGGAGGTTGAGGTTGAGCCTTGACGCTGACATTGACGCAACTTTAAAATGCGACATGTCATTTCTTACTGTTCAGCATTTCCCAGTGAAAGCTGTCGAGGTCCCTGCTCCTGGTAATTTGCTTGGGGCCACGCCCACCCCATTCCCAAGTCTCCTCCCGTGGGAGTAATTTTGCGTTTTGTATTTTGCGGTTTTCTGTGTGTGCTTTCAGGAGCAGCGGCACAGCTCCTTTGAGTTTGGTAAGGGCGGCGTCTTTTTTCGCGCCGCCATCGTCTTGTTTTTTTATATCACAATCTTCTCACAAATTTTGCTGAGCCACACATATGCTTCTCTCCGGGTGTGTGTGCACTGAGCGAAAAGGCGGGCAGTTTCGGAGGTATCTGTTAACCTCAGCGTTGGCAGATAGGCTTTAGTCTGTCGCACTAATCAAACTTTATCTGAGCAAGTTTATGCCCGACTCTGGCCCACCCTTTGGCATCCTGTTCGTCCTTGTCTTTGGTCCTCAGCCTCATTCTCCCAGCTCCTAAGCCGTAGTCAAACACAAAACATACACACACACAACATTTTGGCCATGTAATCAAACACATGCGGACCAGGACGAGTACCCAGACGGGGGCAAGGACAAGGATGAGGACGAGGACGAGGACGAGTTCTTACATAAGCAAAGCGCCTGTGTGTGTGTGCGCGCTTGTATTTGTTTTAAGATGAGTTAGAAATATTCGTGCTTGGTTTGTTTTATGGCACCATAAATGCTTGTTTCATTGCAAAGTCGCACATTTATTTCCTTTTGGCGTTTTGCGGTTACAGTTTGCGCCAGGCGCATCCAACTTCCCCGACCCCCAAAAACCGCACATTAAAGTCGGGATGGCTTTAAAGCCCAACACAGCCAGTGTGCGTATGTGCAGGAAATCGAATATAACTTTACTTTATGCCCGATACGAGTCGGCGCTATATTGAAGTTTATGCGGGAGGCAGGAAGCTGCCATCCCCCATGTGCAGGGGATGGACAAGTCAACGCGTTGTGATAATAAACGCAAATGACTGCTACGGGAATTCGTGAACAAGCGACGACGCCTTTGCCCCTGGACAGAAAAGGAAACAGTACAGGGAGTTGAGGGAGTCCTGAGGAAGGAGCTGAGGAGCAGGAGGCTGTAAGGAGCCTGAGGAGCTGCAAGCTGGAAAGTAGCAACAAAAGCAAGGGTGGCGCTGAAGGAGAAAAGAAACGGGACCGCAACGGTAGCCTCAAGTTAAAAGCACTGAGAGAAAAACAAGGCATCATAGGAAAAATACAAAAAAGAAATGAAAAAGATCATAACTAAGCCAAAAAATTATTAAATTTCATTCGGAAACCTTTCCTATGCTAGTTTTCATTAGGTTAACAAATCTGCATACTCAATTTAAACTTGAAATTTTTGTCGATTTTTGAAAATTTTTACGATGTAACCCCTTATAAATATAAAATTTTCAACATTTTGAAAAAATGAAATTTTGGTCGAAGATATATAGATCGATTCGGCTATTAATGCTGATCAATAATATATATGATTTATAGGGTCGGAAATGAGTCCTTCATATAAAATATTTAAATAAATACCAGAAAATGTAAGACTTTTCCATACATAAAATGGAATCAAAAAAGAATAGTTATTTGACAGATACGGTGGTAATACCCTACCGTTTTTTTCCACAGTGTAATTCTCTTACACACACACACCGTTATTTAGAGAACGCGCGGCGAAATGATTTTGAAATTACAAAACAAGAACGAAGAAAGCGGAGTGAAGAAACCCGAGCCGAGGCTCATTACGCATGCCAGTGTTTTGGGAATACGGCAAGTTCACAAACACGAGGCGAGGCCAACTCGCACTCGAACCAGAGAAGCCACAGGAGAGGAGGAGCAGGAGGAGCAGCGAACTGGGAACCTGAACCTGGGACACCAAGCAGCAGCAGTACCAGCACCAGCAGCGCCAAGGGTGACACACAAAACAGGAAGCTTTTGGAAAAAGGACAAGGGCTCGGAGGCATCTTGAAAGGCGTACCGTACTCCGTCCATGGCAGAGTCGTTTTGGCCCGTAATGAGCTAAAAATAAGTTGCCTAGACCACACAGCAACAGCTAAGACCGAGTCGGGGCGGGACAGGACCTGGCCAGGACACTGGAGTGATGTGAGCTGCCTGCTGATGTCTGTGCATGGTTTATGCATTAGCAGGAGCGAAGCAGAGTAAACCTCAATCAAGCGCGCGGAAGGATAGTAGTCCTGCTGCTGCTGCTCCTCCTTCTCCAGCTCCGCCATTAACGTCTTCAACTTCCTGTTAGTGAATATTTCAATTATTAATGCTGCCGCGCACAGCTTACCCCCTCAGCCATTCCCATTTCCCAAGAACACACACATAAAAATGTAAAGCAGCGTCGACTAGGTAGTCCTGCGTCCTAGAGACTCCATCCTTCGTTCACCTACCTGCTGGGTTCGTAGAAACTTTAAGCTGATGACTACGGGGGCGATCCCAGCACTGATGATGTCGTTACAGTTGTCGTTGCCATTCCCCCCAGAATGTCTCCTCCTTCCTTCCTTCCTTATATCCTTCCATCCTTCCTTCCAAGTCTTCGTCCCTCCGCCTTGTGTGTGTTGATGGCACATTGTGCATTTTTCATAATATGCCTGCAATCGTAAGTGGGAAATGTCGCCTCCTGCCCATTAATGCAGCCTAACTGCGCTGGGAATGGGTAGTCTTTGGGTGCGTTGTTGGCCAAGGACCGCACAAAAGTGGCTTAGCTGCAAAAGCTGGAAGAATTCCGTCTTCGTCTTGGTCTTTGCTTCTGTGAGTGTGTCTCCCGGGTTCGCTGCTCTGCTCTGTGGTCTGTGCGCTTTGTTAACTTATCCGGCGGGATTGAAAACAAGCTGGTGCCCGGTTATGGCTGAATGACTCACTGACTGGCTGAGTGACTGACGGACGAACTGAAGGAGGAACTCACTGACTGACTCACTGACTGGCTGAAGGACAAACTGGCTGACAGACAGACAAGCAGAGCCAAGACTGCCGTTGACATTTGAGGCATGGCCATTGGGAGAAAGCGGTTACACTGAGGGGAAAAGCATCTAAGCACGCGGAAGTTGCATAATCTTAGGGATATAGCTGCTCAAAGCATATATAGTTTTGGCTACAATCCGGGCAAAAACACATCACATTATTACAGAACATATATATAACGCAACTTCTTTCTCGTTCCTTTTCTAAAAGTGTAACTTGTACTTGGTTTCTGGGACATACCCAAGGATGCAGCGTTTTGAATTCTGCAGTCCTGGTCCTGGAGATTGATGCCCCTTTCTCCAGGGCCGTACTATATATATATGTATACATGGAGAGTCGGCAGACCACGTGCCGCCATCAGTCATTGATACGCCTTCGTAATCGTTGTCATTGCCGCAGCAGGAGCAGAACCACCAGCAAATCCACGCCCAGTTGGGTCCAGGCATATCCCGGACTTCATTACAGAACGCTCGGCACGGCGAATTCATTTACATTGGTCCTCAGGTTAATTTTGACAAATGGCTTCGATCTCCCTAATGTATTGGAGTAATTTAGCAAAATTAATGCCCTAATTAATCAGGCAGCGTCCGCATCGACTCCGTCTTCGTTACCATACCCTCCATTATCCAACCTCCAGTCAGTCCCTCCTGTAAAGACAATCTGTCCGTTATCTTGGCCTTATCGATGTGTATTGGCTGCCTGTCTATTTAGCAATCAGTTGCGCAGCTTGTCTGCGTCTTACCTTGCCTCCTCCCCCTCCTCCCCCTACAACACCACCCCAGCTTCACCTCCACCTCCTTCTCCTCACAGTCGTATAATGAGGCTTAGTTTGTAGCTGAACCCGGGTCTACGTGAGCGCGTGATGGGAAGGAAGAGCGCAAGCACAATACGCCAATCAGTGTGGCAAATAAATTGGTATAGTTCGAGGTGGGTGAGGTCCCAGTCAGTCCTCCTCCTGCTTCTTGGTCCCGATCTAATACGCAAAGTTTCTGATTTAATGCCACCGACGACGATGCCGCCGCTGGCGGACAGCTGGATCTAGATTACAGGCCGTAATTTCAGATGAGCCACGTCTCTGCGGCGTTCAATTATCAACAACTCATTTGGAATTCGGCACTCTAATAAGCCCACAAAATCTGGCAGCGGATAAATTAAGTATTATTATGTATACATATACTGTACTTTTCTTCTTTAAAGCAAAGTGGGGTAGGTTCAAGACATAACACTGTGCCTAATATCACAGTTTTAAGACCTGGTACCCAAAGGTTATAAGCAGAGTTATATACGTATGTATTTAAAGTAAGTATCTTTCAACAATAAGTTACTATGAACCGTAAGTAACTATGATCAGTAATTAACTATGATCAGTAGGTACCTATGACGATGCAGTAATGATGATATGATAAGTATGATCAGTTACTAACTTTGAACACTAATAAACAATGACTTGCAACTTTTGTAACACAACACATTTCTGACACCTGGCCGGCAGAAGTCACTTCGTTCCGGGGATGTTAAAACCTGTTGAGAATCATATGTACAGATGTGCGAGATTTGTTTTGGAACAAATTTAAGAGCAAGCTATTTAAAATAAACTGTTGAGTAATTCTTCCATATAATTTTACTAGTATATAAGTGGGCGAATCGGTGGACTATATGTATATACATACATATATGTAGCTGACATAGCAAAAATCGGACGATTTATAGAAATATAATCAGAAATTAACT